GGACACCAATATGTCTTCTTAGATCTTGGAACATTTTATTACTACTAGGATGCATGGTATAAGTGGTTTTGTAACGCCACAAAATATGGCCTAAAATTTATTATAAAACAAAAGTAGTTTTTATCCAATAAGGAATATTTGTACGTTTGACTAAAAATAAATGGATTTTAAAAATAATAACTTTTTGTTAAAATCTTATTTTTATGGATATGTCTCGAAGAGACAAATCCAACGGTACATTTTATGAACCAATCTGATTTATAGATTTCAAGCTATGACGATTTTAAATAGTAAAATTTGTAAGTTGGACCCATAAAATAAACTAAATTCAAAGGTGATTTCATCAGATTAGAAATCATAATTTTGACACTTGACAACATCATATTTATCATTTGGATTTAATTCATATATTTTTATCTCATTCATATTATTAAATTGATTTATAACGGAGACAGACCTGAACACTGAGAAAAATAAAAGTTCTTAGAAAAATATTTTGATTACGTCAAAATTCTAGTTTTGACAGTCTATTTCTTAAAAAACACAATCCGTTTTCAATTCGGAACAATTTGGGCGAAAAAGCGCATACCGTTTGGAATAAACTGTTCAGTTTTGACAAGAAGCCAAAACTTTATTTTCCCAAATCCCTCCCAAATCACGTAGCCACTCTTTTGCTCCACCTCCACCACCATTACATCATTATACATCTTCACCATCATCATCCATCATCTCCTTCATCCATTCCTCCCTCTCCATTTTCTCTCTCTGTCGGCCAAACAAAAGGAAAAGAAAAGAAAGCTTAAACTCCATAATTGGTTCAAGGAAGAAGAAGAGGAAGCAACAAACCATCTAAAGTTCTAAAATCCTGAGTTCAAACACAGCAGCCCACTTCTAGGTAAAAACTGAAATTTTCCATCCATTATCTCGAAATACTTTCTGAACCAAAGTTGTAGCCCCGGACGATACGAATCCAGCCCAACAAACGGCTCGCGATTTCGTTAAGTAACGAAGAAGATATGGCCAAAATACCGGGACTGCGCCAGTGGTGGCGAGCTCCTCGGGTTGGCATGTGTTTCTTCACCAAATTCATATTATTTCATTCCAAATTCTTACCATAAACTCTCTAACAATTATTAGGAACATCCGGAAGGTATCGTAGAGAAGGTTCGGCATTGGAATGTTGAAGTTGGTGAGTTAATCGTCGGAATCGTGTTCATCGACATATTAAAAATTCTGGACAGCAACTTTCCCTTGACTTCAGGTCCGATTTACGCTATCTTACATATGTTAAATCGAAATACTTTCTATACGAAAGTTATAGCCTTACATCTTAGGAATCCACAGAATCAAACGGTTTACAATTCCGTGAAGAAACGATGGAGATATGCCCAAAATACCGCAGGCTGTCCAGTTGTGACGGAAATGACAAAGTTGGCAAATTTCGATGTTGTTTCCACTCCCGCTCATCCGTAAGGTTTCGGCCTATGATTTCCAGGTCTGTACCCTTGCGTTAGACTTGTCGAATCATTCATCATATACGTACATGAACATATATGTTAATCCGTATGTTGAAATCATCCCAAAATAAATATGTGATGCATATATAAGTCATCTATATGTTAAGATCAAAATACACCAAATCCATAAGGTTAATATACACATAAGTAAATATAAACTTTGGAAATCGACCCTACAATATGTATATTCCAATCAAAGGTGTTTAAAAGACTTAAATAAATATTTTGGACACTCAAAATATCAAGAGTAAGACTCGCAGACCAAAAACGGTCGACGCAAACGGTCGACCGTCATCTTAAAACTTCGAAATGAACCACGACTGTCAGCAGAACGGTCGACCGCCGTCGGCGAATGGTCGACCGTCGCCTGTCCAGCCAAGTGCCGCCGTCCACCTCCAGTCAACAATGGTCGACCGCCGGTCAACCGCGGTCGACCGTCACGGTGATCCGCCAATCCGACCTGATGAAGATCAAGGTCGACCGTCGCGCTAAACGGTCCACCGTTCCGAGCCCCGTAGCTTAATTAAATGAAATTTTTATCAGATTTCACCCAAATAAAATAAAGTATATTTATCCATTCATATTGTTTACAAATTGTTCATATCATATGACTCATATCATCACACATATTGTAGCATATCATATCATATGCATGCGTAAGAGATCATGCGTAACTGCGTCTCTTATAGCGTGATGTGCGGGACTTAGCAGTCCGACATCGCCCGTTCCGGGCTTAGTGTACGTACATGGTATTCAGGTTTCGAGTACCACCCCTATTTTTCTAGTCTCTCCTCATTCGTGAGACTAAGGCCGCGTGAGTTCATCGTACCAAATGGGCGAATCTCATAGCGCAAGGGTGTCCTTGCAAGTTATAGGATCATGCATCATGTTACCATCATCAAGTACAATTACATTGATTACATAGGTGTCATGTAATCATCATCAAGAACAATCAAGTTGATTAAATGTGAAATCATGTTATCATCATCAAGTACATTGATTACATAGGTGTCGTGTAATCATCATCAAGAACAATTATATTGATTACATAGGTGTCATGTAATCATCATCAAAAATAATTATATTGATTAAATATGCCATCAGGTAATTATCATTAAATATTTATCATCATGATTCATCAAATTGACCATATGATAATATGTGTCATATCATGAATGTTACTATACATTTTGTGGACGTATATATATGTATATGTATATGTCTGAGAATCATTCTACAATTCTAGCGTGGTACCACTCAGCGGTTTCGCTGAGCGTGTAGTTTGTATTTTTCGTTGACTACACGTAGGTAACAAGAAGACAATGATGGAACCACTCCCGGAGGGCATTGAGTCAGAGGAGATGCAAGGATGGCAGGCAAATGTTGATCATCAGATTTTTAAATGTGTCATGATTTGATTATTATTGTACTTCCGCATTACTCTGAAAATATTTTTTAAATGGGTCGCGATCCAGAGTCTGTAAATTTAATATTTATAAGTAATTGTCATTTTCAAATGTCAAGCGAAATTTTTA